TAAGTCAGAAACTAAAAAGTCAACTTTGACACTTCTCTTTTACTTGCCACCCCCATACCAATCATCGCAATCTGCTGCTTTTATGTACCATTTTGAGTCCATCCACTTGTCTTCATCTCCTTCACCACTTCCTGGTCCAAGGTACCATCATCTCCCTTCAGAATTACCACAAACTTCTTTCCAACTAGTCATCCCTCATCACCCTGATCTCTTCCAATTCATTTTATACCTGTAGCCAGAATATTTTCAAAATGTCAACTGCCTGTGTTAATCCTCATCTCCTGCCTGCATAAACCCTCAATTGCTTCTCACAGCCCTTAGAAGAGAGACATGGGCTCTGCACGGTCTGGGCCCAACTGCCTTTCCTCCTTACGTTGTGCCACACTCCCCCTTCTCTGTTTTCACCGCTCCCACCCTGTTCTCTCAACAGCTGTGTCCCCACAGTCCTTCGTCCTGCAGCGCCTCTGCGTACACTCCTCCCTCTACCAAGAAATCTCTCAGAACCATCTTTCAGATTTAGCTTACATTTACAGGGTGTCCCAAAAGTCTCCACACAAAGGAAAAATTCTGTAAAATTTCGTAATGAATATTTTGTAAATAAAGGTACATTTAGCTACAATTTCCTGTTTTCCCCATGTATGGCAACTTTTGGGACACCCTGTATTTACTCAGTTAACATGTTCATGATGTCCTAGACTAAGCTAAATATATCTGTTGTAAACTTGCATGAACTGTGTACTTCTCCTCTGTAGCATTTGTCAAAACAGCAATTTTGTTCTTATGGTTAATTAAAATCTGTTTTTTTCCCCATGCTATAAACGCTAAGGGTGGACACCATGTCTATGTAGCTCATCCCTTTATCAGCAGTGCTGGACACAATGTAGCCATTCAACAAATACCAAACTGACAAAGAAGTAATCAAATGTTGGTGAGGTTGTATACATTACACAGCTACTTAAAATAGATATTATGCAACAATATGGATGAACGTCGCAGACGTTATATTGAATGAAAGAAGACAAAAACAAGAGTACATACTGTATGATTCCATTTATAAGATGTTCAAGAACAAGCAAAACTAATTAATGGTGTAGAAGTCAGAATCATGGCTATCTTTGGCATAAGGAGTATTAATTAGGGGAGCCATCAGGTTACTAGAAATGTTCTATACCTCAGTCTGGCTAGTGGTTACAAGGAGATACAGACACATAACACATACACACAAATTTATCACTTGTTTTTGGTATGCTTTTCTGTTTGTGATGTATCTCAAAAAAAGGAATAAGGAAAAAAGGAAGGCATTCTGGGAGGGAAAAGATAGAAAACTAAGTATTGATAAGATAATATGCCCACGAGACCTTGGTAAGTTAAAACAACCACTTTGCAGAATACAATGTATGTTATGATCTTGCTTTTTCAATTAATTATTTTCTTTTTAAATAGACAAATTATAATTACATATATTTATGGGGTACAAAGTAACATTATATATATAAACACAAAGCAGACTGATTAAATCTAGCTAATGATTATAACACGAATCACCTCAAATACTTATCCTTTTTCATGGTGAGAACATTTGAAATTTATTCTTTTTTTAAAAATCCATAATACATTAACTAGAGTCACCATGTCGTGCAGTAAATCTCAAAAACTGTACTCCTCTTGTCTAATTGAAACTTTGTGACCTCTGACCATCATCTCCCCATCCCCCACTCCCCCAAGCCTCTGTAACCACCATTCAACTCTCTGCTTCTCAGGTCAGCTGTTTTAGATTCCACATATAAGCAAGATTTCATATGGCATCATGTGCTCCAGGTTCACCTATGTTGTTGCAAATGACAGAATTCCCTTCTTTCTAAAGGCTAAATAGTACTCCATCATGTATACACACACCACATTTTCTTTATCCATCCACCCATTAATAGATACTTACGTTGATTCCATAAGTTGGCTATCTTATTAATGTTGCACTGACCATGGCAGTGCAGATATCATTTCAATATACCAACTTCAAATCCTTGGGCTATATACACAAAAGTAGGATTGCTGAATCATATGGCAATTCAATTTCTCGTGTTTTGTACAGTTCTCCGTAACAGCTGTACTAATTGACACTCCCACCAACAGTGTACAGGGGGTTCCCTTGCTCCACATCCTTGCCAACATTCATCTTTCATCTTTTTGATAACAGTCATTTTAACAGGTGTGAGGTGATAGCTCACTGTGGTTTTAATTTGCATTGCCCTGGTGATTACTGATGTTGAACATTTTTTCATATACCTGTTGGCCACCTGTATGTCTTCTTTTGAGAAATATCTATTCAGGTCCTTTGTACATTTTTAATCAAGTTATTTGTTCTCTTGCTATTCAGTTGTTTGAGTTCCCTCCATATTTTGGATATTAACCGCTCATCTGATGTATGCCTTACAAATATTTTTGCCCAATCTATAGTTTGTCTCTGTTGTTTCCTTGTTTCCTTTGCCATGCAGAAGCTTTTTAATTCGATGTAATACCATTCGTGTATGTAAGCTTTTGTTGCTTGTGCTTTTGGGATCAAATCAAAAAATAAATCATTGCCCAGAACAATGTCAAGAAACTTTTCCCCTATGTTTTCTTCTAGTAGTTTTACAATTTCAGATGGTATGTTTCAGTCTTTAATCTATTTTGAGTTGATTTCTGTATATGGTAAGAGATAAGGGTCTACTTTTATTCTTCTGCATGTGGATAATCAGTTTTCCCAACACCCTTTACTGAAGGACTGTCCTTTTCCCATTGTGTGTTCTTGGCATCTTTGTGAAAAATCAACTGACTTTAGAAGCAAGGGTACATTTCTGGGCTCTCTACTCTGTTGGATAGTTGAAATGCCTACTTTTATGCTAGTACTGTGTTATTTTAATTACCATAGCTTTGCAATGTAGTTTAAAATCAGGTAGTATGATTTGTTCCTTTTGCTCATGGCTGCTTTGCTATTTGGGGTCTTTTTGTAGTTCCATTTTCGAATTTTTTTTTGTTTCTATGAAAAATATCATTGGAATTTTGATAGGCACTGCATTGAATTTGTAAATTGCTTTGGGTAGTATGGACACTTTAACAGTATTCTTCCAATCCATCAACACAGAATAGCTTTCCATTTATTTGTGACTTCTTCAATTTCTATCATCAGTGTTTTATAGTTTTCAATGTACGGATCTTTTCACTGCCTCGGTTAAATTTCTTCCTAAATATTTTAATTTTTTTGGTAGCTATTGTAAATGGGATTGTTTTCTTGATTTCTTTTGCAGATAGTTCACTGATAGTGTATAAAAATGCTACTGATTTTTGTATGTTGATTTTGTATCCTGCAACTTTACTATACTCATATATTAGTTCTAACAGTTTTTGGTAGAGTCTTCATGGTTTTTTATTAACATATATAACTTCATGTTGTCAGGAAACAGTGACAATTTCACTTCTTCCTTTCCAATTTATGTTCCTTTTATTTTTTTCTTGTCTCACTACTCTGGCAAGCACTTCTAGTACTATGCTGAATTGAAGTGGTGAGTGTGGGCATCCTTGTCATGTTCCCATTCTTCTGGTTTCTGCAAATGATAGAAATCCTACTCAAATTAGCTTAAGCAAAAAATTCACTTATGACACATACCTGGAAAGTTCACTTAGCTAGGCCCACATACCCACAAATAATTTTTATTAGGAACTTCAATGAAACTCTCTAGAGTGGGGAAAGCTAAAGTTTATTAGGGCACCACTCATGTGACCATGAAAATTATAAGATCACTATTCTCAGAGTGCTAGACCCAGGGCAGGTCAGGTTTCCAATGAGCCTTCTTGAGTTCCATCAAAAAACCTATATGCCTATATGTCTAGAGAAATGTGCCATGCATTTTAAGTTATAGAAGAAAGTGAAAAAAACTATAGTTTCCGAACACCGAGTTCTCATTTCTAAAAGCAAACAGATAGATTCTCTCAAATGGAAGTATCTGAGCTACTTCTCAGACGGACAACTCTATGTAGCTAACTACACAGTAACACTAAGAATTCATTTAACAATGATACTAATTCTCAAGAGAACTGCAAGACATCCCAGGTAGTCATATGTAAACCTTTTGGTGTTATCAGGCTGACAAGTGCTCAGGACTTCAAAATATAAGAGTATCCCCAAATTACACCAAACCCAATGACTTCTTAAATTCATACATAATCATTTTTAAAAATTTATAGGTCAAAAGTTTATAGTCATATAATATCAACTTTACAACTATTATGTTTTCAAAGTATTTAGAAAGCAAGAATCAGGTATGTTTTACATATCCCAAACATTCTTTTATTCAACAGACATGAGTACCCACAATGTTGACTGAACCATGAGAAATCGCTGATATTTGACCATTCTGACTTATAAGGAAAAGCAATTTCATATGGTTCAGTCAAAAACCAGGCATTTTCCTAGTTGCTAGGATATAACAGCGAGCAAAACAAATTCCCTGGCTCTACGCAGAGCTTACATTCTGTGGGTATGTATCTGGGGTGACAGGGAGGCAGCTAAATGAACAACCAAATATACAGTGTATCAGACAGTGTTACATCCTTAGGAGAAGAACACAAAGGGTTAAGGGGGATAAATGGTAGAAGGGAGTGGCTGTTGCTATTTTATTTGGGTGGTCAGGGAAGGCCTCACTGATGAGATGACATTCAAGAAAAATTCTAAAGAAAACCTCTCAGATTCTCCTACGATGGCAAAATCTGGCCACTAACATGAAAATTTCTGCCAAGAACAAATAATTCTGCTAAAACCACTGGAGTACAGTAAAAATTACAGCTTCAATTAAACTTGTAACCAATGTATACCTAACAGGTACGTGTCACTGAAATTATCACTGCTGCTCACAGTTCTCATTCTATAAGCAAGTTTCATGTAAGCACTTTCTTTAATCCATGTTTCCAATCTAATAAATATCCACATCTAAGAACACATATAAAGATAAGCAATTCGTTCTTACATCTTTTGAAGAACCTGGGCCATCACAACCCCATTCGTTAAATCTTCCACAGTCTGGCATGGTGCATCCACGTTAAATGTCTGGATCTGAAGGAAAAAAAGGGGGGAAAAAGAGATTCTATGGTTACCTATATAGAAGATTTCTTAGGTTTCTTTTAGTGATTATCTCATCTTGGGGGCTGGAATAAATTTTAAAAAGGAAAACAGTTGGAAACTTTTTCCCTTATGGGAAATTTCCTGCAGATTATTATTATAATTTTCCTGCACTGGTAAAAGAGAAATTGTGCTGGACACTGAGTGACTTCCAGCATCAATTCTACTCCCAGATGACCAATCCAAGAAAATCATGGTACTTTCATCCCATCATCTACCAGTGACTGCTTCAGGGACACACAGGGCAAAGACAATCTGGACCAAAGAGATACAAGGAGATACTTCTGGGGAAGAAAAGTCAACCTTCTCTTGATGTGAATAATACTGCTGCCTCTATTACTGCAGCATCCTGTGACTACCAAGGGAATCAGTCATAATGCAGTGAAAGGCAGAGAAGAGGGACAGAAAGAACTGGGTCCTCGAAGTAAAAACTGAACCACTGAATTAAAATACCTTGACTTCTCTATTATGTGAAGTATATGTCTTTATTGTTTAAGCCTGGCTACATTTGAGGTTTCTGTTACTCACACCCAAAATATCTCTATACAGATGCAGAAGTTGTACTTACTATGGTTACGTTAGTCAATTTATTTTGATTTCAAATATATTCTGAATTAGAACTTTGTACCTGTCAACATGATAAGGCCAAGAAATGCTGTACTTTTCCTAATAGTAGAAATTATTTCTACAAGAAAATGTGGCTGAGTCAACAATGCTTATACCCAGGAGTGCGCCCAGGATTCAGAAGGAAATAAATCACTGAGAATAGAGAGACATAGGCCATTCTTTCACGGAATTTATAGTTTAGCAAAATAAACAGTATAATAGGAAGTATCAACAGCAAGCCCAAAGACTAGAAGTGAAAGTGGGATGCGATCAAGGAATGAACAACAGCTTGGTCTGCACTGGGGTGGGTAAGAACCAGAGGAACAGATGGGATAGGGAAAAGTAAAACCGAAAGATAGGGCTAAAGAATGAAGCAGCACCTTATGCACACATTAGGACTTTACCCCAGAGTAAAGTAAGCAAAGGATTTGAAGCGGGAGGTGAGGCCCCGAGAAGTGCGTTCTAGAAAGATCACGCTGGCTTCGGTAAGAAGAAAGGACTGTGGGAATGAGCAGGAGAGCCATCTGAGTAGCTTTACAGACTAACACACAGGAGGCTGACTAAGCAGTGACAATGGGAGTCCTGGGAATGACACTCAGGTGACCATGTGTCTGCACATATATTTTTATGTTTATTTATTGTGTTTGGAAAGAAGTAAAATCGCTGGGTCAAAGTGTATGCACATTTTAAGGTTTTTGATAAAACTGCTAAACTGTCCTTAATAAATGCTATAACAATTTACTCTCTTACTAACAGTGAGTGAGTGTCCACTTCTCTGCACCATATCATCTATCAAACATTAAAAAAAGAAAAGAAAAGAAAACTATGAACAGTGCAGTCAGGAGCTGTACATTTACGTAGAAGAGTCTTATGGGCAGAGACAGTCGTGGTGGCAGAGGCCAAGGGAATTACTCCGAGATCCTCAGGGCACGGAGTTTTTACTTAGGGTCCTTCCAAGCCACTCCCGACACTAACCTAATACTTGCTGCAGGTTCAATAAATGATTAGTAAACAAATAAATGGAACAAATAAACTCCAGCTGCCTCCTCACTGGTGATGTAGTAAGAATTTTAAAAGAAATAAGCACCTGCTTTCATTTGACAGTTGCTAAGTTAATGGACCCACTTTCAAAACAAAAAGAAAAGACAAAGAAAAACCCATCTCTCTCCTGTAGGTTTGCTTAGAAGGAAAAAGAGAGGCACCAGGAGGCCCATGTCTCATTTATCTCTTTACCACTGACCTTAGCACAATGCATGAGACAGAACAAGTCTTCAGTGAATGTTGCTTGGAATGAAATGAATTTTAATCCCTACTTTACTCCTAATTTGCTGTGTAACCTTGGAATTGTCACTTCATCTCTCTAAATGTCAGTTTTTCCATTTAAAGACTGGAGAAAAATACCTAATGGAGAGGTGTGTTGCTTAAGGAATGAACGAGAAAACGAACACACATCAGGTATTTTGAGAATCTAGAGCAGTGGCCCCCACACCTGGGTGTGTATGAGAATCATCTGGGAAGTTTTCATTTTGAAAATGCACATTTCTTGGCTCCCTTGACTGAATCAGAATCTGTGCGTGTGTGTGTGTAGAAAGCTTGGAATCTATTTTTAACAAACTCATCAAATAATTCTTATGCAGCTGGGCACCGGTTTGGCCTTGGAATCCTCTGATCTAAAGCACTTGCAAGTGGAAGGGATGCAAGATCAGGAAACTGCCTCTGCCCCATCAGAAGAAACAACTGAGTAAAGCAAGAAATTCAAAAAACACAAGTAATCTCAATTAAGACTTAATCTGTTTTTCTCTTGGGACTTACAGAAAGCTAAACTTTCATTTTTATTTTTAAAATGTGGCTTTATTCAATCATTTTCTCTGTATTAGCCCTTGAGATACGTAATTGCTCATGAGCGCTAGAGATGTCAACCTATGTTGTAAGATGAGAGTGAAGCAGATCCCAAAGGAAGCATCCCTACAGAGTTTCTTTTTGGGGTGATGACAATGTTCTTGGAATTAGATAGTGGTGATGACTGTACAACCTTGTGATCATATTAAAAACCAATGAACTGTATATTCTAAAAGGACGAATTGTTTGGTATGTGAATTGTATCTCAATTGTTAAAAATCTATCACCTACCAGTTTTCTGACCTAACATCTATGGGGTATTTCAGGATATAGTACAGTAAAATTTTAAGATATCTGCACCTAACTGCATTAAGGCATGAAATTCTACCCAAAGGGTCATAATCTTCCTTAATTCCAAGAAGCTCTATAATGCCACCCAACCCCCACCTCACCCTCCCTCACTAAAGCATGAGAGGAATAAAGCATGAGATCACCTAGAATTACTATCTCTAGAGCAGTGGTTCATAACCAGGTGTGATTCTGCTCCCTAGGAGACAATTTTGGTGTAACAACTAGGTGAGTGCTACTGGCACCTACTAGGTGGAGGCAAGGAATGCTACTATCAAACATAATACACAGTGCTGCCCGCGACAAAAAATTATCCAGCTCAAAATGTCAAATGATGATAAGGTTTAAAAACCCTGATCTAGAGCAATTGTTCTCAAAATGTGGTCCCCAGGTCACCTGGAAACTGAGAAATGCAAAATCTCAGGCGTTGGCCCAGACCTACAGAATTAGAAACTCTGAGCATGGGGCCCAGCAATCAGTGTTTTTAGCAAGCCCTCTAGATGACACTGATCAATACTAAGGCAGGAAAGACTCTTAGAATTGGCAAATTTAGTAAAGTCTCAGGTTAAAAAATCAATGTACACAAATCAGTAGCATTTTTATATACTAATAACAGTCAAGCTGAGCGTCAAATCAAGAACTCAATAGCAGTTACAACAGCTACGAAGGAAATACCTAGGAACATACTTAACCAAGGAGGTGAAAGATCTCTATAAGGAGAACTACACAACACTGATGAAAGACATCATAAATGACACAAACGAATGGAAAAACAGCCCATGCTCATGGATTGGAAGAATCAACATTGTCAAAATGTCCACACTGCCCAAGGTGATTTATAGATTCAATGCAATTCCCATCAAAATACCAACATCACTTTTCAGTGATGTTGAGGCCCGCCTCGGTCTCCCAGAGATCTGGAAAAAACAATCCTAAACTGGATCCCTGTTTCTTACCATATACGAAAATTAACTCAAGATGGATTAAAGACTCATATGTAAGACCTGAAACCATAAAAATTCTAGAAGAAAATGTAGGAAAAACTCTTCTGGACATTGGCCTAGGCAAAGAATTGATGACTAAGACCCCAAAAGAAAAATACAGCAACAACAAAAATAAATAAATGGGATTTAATTAAACTATAAAGTTTCTGCACAGCAAAGGAAATAATCAACACAGTAAACAGACAACCTACAGAATGGCAAAAAAATATTCACACATTATACATCTGACAAAGGGCTAATATCCAGAATCTATAATACAAAGAACTCAAACAATACAGCAAGAAAAAAATAACCCTATCAAAAAGTGGGCAAAAGACATGAACAGATTTTTTTCAAAAGAAGATAGGCAAATAGCCAACAAACATATGAAAAAATGCTCAACAACACTAATCATCAGGGAAATGCAAATTAAAACCACAATCAGATACTACTTTACTACCCTTGTCAGAATGGCATGAAAAAGTCAAAAAACAGTAGACGCTGACGTGCATGTGGTGAAAAGGGAACACTTACACACTGAGAACTAAGAAGGGGGAGAGTGGGGAGAGGCTGAAGGATAAAAACATCTACCTATCAGGTACAGTGTACACTATTCTGGTGATGGGTACACTGAAAGCCTTGACTTCAGCATTATATAATTCATCCATGTAACAAAAAACACTGTACCCCCTAAATCTACTGAAATATTTTTAAAAATTTTAAGAAACACTAAAGCATGAGAACCACTGCTTCACTGGGACTGTAAACTAGTGTAATCTCTATGGCAAACAGCATGGAGATTCCTTAAAGAACTAAAAGTAGACCTACCATTCAATCCAACAATCCCACTACTAGCTATTTACCCAAAGGAGAAGAAGTCATTTTATAAAAAAGACACTTGCACTCAAATGTTTACTGTAACACAATTCACAATTGTAAGGGTATGGAATCCACCTAAGTTCCCATCAAGTGATGAGTGGATAAAGAAAATGTGGTGGATATATACCATGGAGTACTACTCAGCCATAAAAAGGAATGAAATAATGTTGTTTGCAGCAACTTGAAAGGAACTGGAGACCATTATTTTAAGTGAAGTTATCTCAGGAATGGAAAAACAAATAGCACATGTTCTCACTTATAAGTGGAAGCTAAATGAGGGCTATATACGGTCATAAAGTGGTGTAATGGACATTGGAAACTAAGAAGGGGGACGGGGAGAAGGGGTTGAAGGATAAAAAAATCTACCTATCAGGTACAGTGTACACTATTCTGGTGATGGGTACACTGAAAACCTTGACTTCAGCATTATACAATTCATCCATGTAACAAAAAACACGGTACCCTCTAAATGTATTGAAATATTTAAAAAAATGTTTAAAAACATTAAAGCATGAGAACCACTGCTGCAGTTAGCAAACTTAATGCTAAACAGGAATGCAATAGAGAAGCAGAGGTGAAGTTACTTGACCAAAGTTAGTATGAAACAAAATCAGGATTTGAATCCAGGTGGTCTAATGTCAACACCTGTGTTCTTAACTACCATGCTAATCCTCTATTTAAAAAAAAATGTGCTTTAACTTCTGTATATAAGTGATTTCTTTATTATTCCATTAGAGGACAAAAATTGCTGGCAGAATGGAGTTAGGCAGAGGGAGAGACATCATCAAAATAATTATATCCTTCTTAATCCTATACACTAGAAGGCATTTTATAGGCTGCCAAGTAAGTAATATGGAAATAATATGTTCATGTTGCTGGGTTTCCCAGAAGTGTACTAATCATCATATAGTGACGATTCTTTCTCCATTTGGCTTCTTGTCATTACCTGGTAATATTCTAATTCTTTCTTGTTTCTCAGTCTCTAAAACCTGGGAAAGTGCATTCTTTTCATTGAGATTCACATACAGTTCAACAAATTAGACTTGACGGGTGTAATAGGCAGGGCAGACTTTGACTCAGAGGGTGGGGAGAGGAGGCGCAATGGGAATTTTCAAGCACATCCAGCTGAACTTGCTTGCTGCATACACTAGCTGCATACACTTTGGTTTGGGATTTAAGCTTAAAATGTTTTCCATTGACAGAATGATACATTGTCTTTCCCTAAGTACTCCTCTTTCAACAAAAACTTGGAACATGATTCTTGGGCTAGTGGGCTCTCTGATACAATGGCTATTTATCAAGCATTTGAGGCAATGAGATGTTCCACAGAACCGAGTTCTGCATAGGTGACTAAGAGTCCTAACCCTTTAAGCACCTGAGCTTTTATTTTAACCATTTCTAGTGGAAGAATTTCTAAAATGGATAATATACATCTCTCCTGTCTGAGACTAAATGCTATGTAGTGAAAATGAACTTTTATTTGATACTCAGAACTATAATTACGATTTCGATAACTGAACATGGAGGCTCTAAAAGTACATAAAACTGTCAGCCCAAAGACTAAATCACCCAGACTGACCTTCCAGCTCTTGGTCTCCTGTCACTGACAGCTGTTTGTATTTTGCTGAGTGTTGCAGTCACCTTCTAGCCTACCATGTGCAAAAAACCCCCACAAACCCACTTGACTAGAAGTTTATACAAAATAGAGAAAATTATTCTAAACGGGAGTCTTTACGTTAGAATTTATTGTGTACATTTTCACTTATACTTGGTTTTGAAACAGTGTTCAGCATTAATCTGGCTTCCAGATAGGAGGGGTACTGCTAGACTAAACGTACATGTTCAGCTACCTCAAACGTTGTTCATATAAACATTTATTCTGCTTTTTATGATAACTAAAACAAATCCAGCATTTACTCTCAATCTTATTTGGAAACATTTCAATGTACGTTTAAAAATGTTTCCAAATCTTAAAACTGTATCATCTTTGTGTGGACACTGCCCTCCAGTTTTGTCATTGATAATCTCTAATCTTCTCCAGAAATTTTCCTTGATGTTTCCCAGGACATTTTAAAAAGCCTATTCTACAATACCAATTTCTTGACCTCTCCCTAAAGCTGGTAACATGGTTTATCTGTTTTCTTGACATTTTATCAGACTCTATGTAGATTCTCTCATATTGTCTGGTTCTGTCAGTGTCCCTTCAAACTTCTCTCTATGACTTTTCCTCTATATTTTTATCAGCATTTCTCACTCAAATAACTGCACTACCATATTTTTGTGCATGTCCTTCATATACAGATTGGTGCCCAGTTTAGGATTTTTTTACTTTATGATGGTGCAAAAGAGATACACAACACATTCAGCAGAAGCTGTACTTTGAGATCCCATACATTCTGTTTTTCACTTTCAGTAGTCAATAAATTGCATGATATATTCAACATTCTATTATAAAATAGGTTTGTGTTTGATGATCTTGCCCAAATGTAGGCTAACGTTGGTGTTCCAAGCATGTTTAAGGTAGGGTAGGCTGAGCTATGATACTCAGTAGATTAGGTGTATTAAATCCCTTTTTAACTCATGATATTTTCAATTTATACTGGGTTATCTGGCTGTAATCCCATCGTAAGTGGAGAAGCATTTATACACCTCTTTATTTCCACGGCTTTTTTTTTTTTTTTTTTTTTGAGACAGAGTCTCACTGTGTTGCCCGGGCTAGAGTGCTGTGGCGTCATCCTAGCTCACAGCAACCTCAAACTCCTGGGCTCAAGCAATCCTTCTGCCTCAGCCTCCCGAGTAGCTGGGACGGACTACAGGCATGAGCCACCATGCCCGGCTAATTTTTTCTATATATTTTTAGCTGTCCAATTAATTTCTTTCTATTTTTGGTAGAGACGGGGTCTCGCTCTTGCTCAGGCTGGTCTCGAACTCCTGAGCTCAAACAATCCGCCCGCCTCGGCCTCCCAGAGAGCTAGGATTACAGGCGTGAGCCACCGCGCCCGGCCTTTCCATGGCTTTTTTCCCCCCTAGATTTTAAACACTGTAGTCCTACTTCAGATTAAATTAGCTTCCTCATTTTTGCCTTTTTCCCCCCTAGCATTGAGGAAGACACTACTTGTTACAGGCTCAAAAACTGAAATCTGAAGTTCCTCTGTTTACAACCTCTGCCAAATCTATTCCTTCCACAGCATCAAAGAATGTAGTAATTGTTTCCTTTATCTCTCCCCTGCCTTGTCAAACTGTGGCCACATTATGGAATTTGTCAGTTTTCCTCTCTTCTAAAATACACCAGTGAAGCTCATCTTCTTACCTGAAGGTGGAAACCATTAGAGTTGTAAACTGTATGTTAACTCTATAGCATTGCTAACATCTCAAATCCCCAAAATGGTCTAATATAAAACTTACTGAATATATCAAGCTCTACCATCGTATATATTGCTTCAGAGGACATAATTTGATTCGTGACGTGACATAGCCGAATTATCAAATCCTATTTTTACTACATTTGTTACAACCAACCTAAGGCAATCATTCTCGGCAAAGTGTCCCCGTACAAAACAGTGAAGTCTATAATCCAGGGATCTGAACTTGTAAGCCAAGGCACCACTAAACAATTTCGTTGACATTTGTGTAAGCATGGGTTTACTGTCCCGTTCTAGAAGAGGATGCTAAAGGCACGACTGTTGACATTAGAACTGAACACGCATTTACTTCAAAATGTAAGACTGTTAACAACCGTTCTGGAATCCCACAGCGTTGCCCCAAAATGTCTTTGAGTTCCATTACTGATTCCCAGACACCTTCCAGGTTTACTTAAATGTTCACCCTTGACGCCTTTTATACGCAGCTTCACATCGCTTGCTTTCTGATCGCCACAATGCGTCTCGCATTTTAAACACTCTGTCCCCGGGTGCCTCTCCGAATTTTTCCTGCCCTCCCTTAAAGCACCTTTCTTTTCCAGTGGGCAGGGTTCATCCCTCAGGGGCTGCGCTCCGTCCCGGTGAGCGTGACAACAAAGGCGAGGGGCCGCAGCCGGTCCCGAGCGCCTCTGCCGGCGACGCCGGGCACGGGGACAGCCAGGGCTCCGGTGTCCCCGGGAACTGAGCGGAGCGCCAGCGCCTCAGCAGCCGCGAACAGCCCTGATTACAGTGTCGCCCGCACCCCGTCATTAGCCTCCGCGGGACCCGGCCGCTCGCGGAGCGGCCAACGCCTCGAGCCCGGCAAGTTTCTCTCGGATCCCGCGTCGAGCCTGCTCCCCGCGCCCCGCCGCCGCCCGCCGACCCCGGCCCGGCCGCGGGTGTAGACGCGGCCCGCACCAGCGAACCCGGCTCCACCCGCCCCAGGCCCCGGATGTGACGGCACCGTCGCCCCCGGCGCTCGCCCCCCGGGACGAGCGTGGGGGATCCCGGAAAGGCGGCCTGGGGAGGCGTCCTCCCGGCGCCGCCGGCCACCACGTACCCAAGTGAGGAGGCTCTCGCACAGCTCCACCCGCTCCACCGACTCCACGCTGAACATCGTCCCCGCTGGGGCTTGGCGGCGCCGCCCGCAGCCAGACGCCGCCGCTCGGCCTGGGCTTGCTCGGAGGGCCCGCGCGGCTGACTCGGCCTCCGGCCCACCTGCTCCTCGGCCCGGCTGCCGACTGTCGCCCCGGCGCTGGCAGCGGCTCCCACGGCGTCACCCCGGTGCCCCTCCTTCTGCTCCCGCTCGGGGCCGCGCCCGCCGCGCGCGTCCAGGCCACGCCCGCCGCCCCGCGTCCCCGCCCCGCGCCGCCCACAGGCTCCTCCCGAGCGCGGCCAGGCCGGGCGGACGCGCCACTGCGCACAACCGCGCGCCGCCGCCGCCCGCTGCGTGTCGCGGCGCGCGCGCACCCGGGCCTGACGGCGCGTCCTCCTCGGCCGTCCGCACGCGCCTCTCGGAAGCTCGGCAGTGCGCGTGCGCTGGCGCCCGCTCTCCAACTTAGAAAAGACACAGCCAGTGGTTGCCCGGGAGGGGTGGCGGGAGCAGTCCCCGGAAACAATCCCTGTCCTCTGTCTCCGGGCACTGGCGAGGTCGCGCCTCCGCGGGGCCGAGGTACGCGTCCCTCCTCCCGGGCCGCCGCCTGGGCGCCGAGCGCGCGCCCGCCACGCCCACCCGCTCGGCCCCGACCTGTGGGGGTCGCCCGCAGCGGGGCTTGAAGGGGAGGGGGCGTCGCCGCCTCCTACCCCCCCCCCGGGCTCCGCCTTCCTTCGGGCGTCCGCGGGCTGAGCCCCAGAATCGCCCGGTTCCGGCCCGGAGTCGCCCGGAGACGGCGGAGGGGCCAACGTGGAGGCGTCCCGGTGGCTCGAGGTGGGCTTGGCGCGCGGCGAGGGGAGCCCCCCGTTCCTTCTCGGGTCGCTGGAGCCTCGACTCTGGAAACTTTACTTAAAGAGAGGGTGTGCGCCGGCTCGTCGATCCGTAAGGACCCCGGGGCCTGCTTCTCCCAGTGGCTAGGGCTGGCTTCCCGGATGGGGAGGTGGATCGTTCTCGAGCCCTCACCTTGTTAGAGGCACGAATCTCTTCAGGCTACTGATAAATTTGTAGCCAATAAGGTATATGCAGAAAAGTGCATAAGACATACATGTTTAAAGAATAATTAGTAAAACACCCAGATAAAAAGCATTACCAGCACCCCAGGAGTTGCCTCACCCTTACATACCCTGTGTTCCTTTCTGAGCATAATTTTTTCCCTAGTCTGAATTTTTGATAATCACTTAATATTGCTTTACCTCATAGCTTTACCATCTACGCATGCAATAGAACTTTCCTTTGCCTGTTTTTGAACTTTTATGAGTGGAATCATACCGTGTTTGGGGGCTTTCACTTTATATTAAATTTGTGTGCTGTATATCTACAGGTAATTTTCATCGCTGTCTAGTCTTTTATTGGGTGAATAAAACAGTGTATCCATTCTGCTGTTGATGGACATTTTGTTCCAGCTAGGGGCTACTCAGGACAATGCTATAAACATTCTTATACCTGAGCTCTAGTGCAAATGTGCTGGAGTTTTCAAGACACACACCTTGGAGTCCTAAGAGAATTGTCGATTCACAGGGTGTGCATAACTACCAAATAATGCCAAACGTTTATTTGGAGTGTTGCAAAGCTAACTTCCTGGAATGCACCTTCACTTTGGTTTGCAGTTCCCGGAACCCACCCGCCCCCTTTTCCCATTAAGAGTAGGTTTTCTGAGGGCCAGGCGCGGTCGCTCACGCCTGTAATCCTAGCCCCCTGGGAGGCCGAGGCGGGCAGATCATCGGAGCTCAGGAGTTTGAGACCAGCCTGAGCAAGAGCGAGACCCTGCCTCTCCTAAAAATAGAAAGAAATTGGCCAAACAACTAAAAATAGAAAAAATAAGCCGGGCATGGTGGCGCATGCCTGTAGTCCCAGCTACTTGGGAGGCTGAGGCAGGAGGATCGCTTGAGCCCAGGAGTTTGAGGTTGCTGTGAGCTAGGCTGACGCCACGGCACCCTAGCCTGGGCAACACAGTGAGACTCTGTCTCAAAAAAAAAGAGTAGGTTTTCTCATTGAGCACTCAGAACTGCCAAGACAGCATTGAGTTTTTAATGATGCCTTACCAGTTAACAGTTAAAACCTGATGATTTATCGTTTTGCGAACGTGAAAAAATCTTACTTGAAGTCTTTTCAATGGTCTTTCTTTCAAACATTCTTCCCTACACCATGGGGCAGGGAAACCTTTAGAAATTATAGGTATGTATCTTACCTGCCTTTGTCTCCTCTGTTGGTCCCTCTGGGCGTTTGTCAAACCAGAGCTCCCACCTTCTGTACTAGGTTGTTTCTGTCGAATCCCTGTCACTTCGAGTGACCTAAACCATTGTTAGGCAAGTGAATGAAGTCAGTAAGTATATGTTACGTTGACTTAGGCCTGACCGGCATGCAGCTTGTCTTTGAATGTGGAGACAAGGTGCCTTTGCTGGAATGTCTGTGCAGGCATGAGCACCTTTACTGTAGACGTTCAGGTTTTCAAAGCTTTGACACAATTGACGTTAACCCTCATTTTTAAAGTTTGACTGCTTATCCAGAATGCTTTTGTGCATGATGGTGCAGTGTTCTTAGGGTTTCATTTTGTAGCTCCAGTTACTCTTGATGAAGGAAATTGTATTAAAAGCTCCTTGGATGTGAGTAATTATTTGTAGGAGCCATGTAGCCATCAAGTTTCTACATGAGCTTGGGAAAAAAAGACACTGAGCTTCTCCTTTGTTTCAGGAAGTCCTGGAGTTTTCTACTTTTCCCTTATTTTTCTCTCTCTGTTTTTTTTTTTTCCCTTCCCTGAAAACTTTGGAAATGACCAAGAAATGAGTTGAACTTGTCTTAGTTGTCTCCTTACTCCAGTTAGTTGGAGGCTGATTCTCATCTACAGCTGTTTATCAGATTCAAGTGAATGTGGTCGTGTCCCATGTGGCAGTGCTCCCAAATTTATCCTGTCTTCCTAGGGAACACATGGCCAAGTTTTATCATAGTTCTGCTGATTCCTTGACAGTTGTTAATAATCAAAGTGTTATTACAGCTTCCATCTACTGAGAGCCTCCATGGTGTGCCAAGCAATATGTTAAATGCTTTACTGTCATTATCTCATACTCATACTCCACAAGGCAAAGCTTTTTTTTTCTGCTAAAAAAGTGATAGTTTGATATGGTTCAGCCTAATTTTATGCGTTTTACATATGACGACTCTGAGACTCAGACTTTATGTAAGTACACAGTTGTCTGACTCCAAAGCTTATGCTTCACTGCTGTATTAAGGAACTCCTCAGTAAGACTTAGCCAGCTAAGCAGTAACAAAGCCAGTTCCTGAGTATGAGTAACTCTTATTTTCATATTTGATGGGATCCCATGAAGTCGTTACCATGTTCTATGCATTTAATAACCGTGTTTCTGGTTTCATGTAGGCAGCATTTAGTGGCCCCTACAACATGGAAGATCGTGTGCACTGCTCAAGGGAATAAGATGTGGTTCTTATTGAAAGGAGTTCATTTTTTTAAAGTTTATTTTTAATTTTCATGGATGCATTATAGTTGTACATGTTTATGGGGTACATGTGATATTTTGATACAAACACACAATATGTAATAATCAAATCTGGGTCCCAAAACCCCTGCAACAACACCTTCAAATAACATGAAAAAAATAAATCCAGTGAGATGTTATTTTGTATACTTGGAACTAAGTGTTTAACATTCTATGATTAATAATCATAAGTTTTGAAGGTAAAGCAATTAAGCACAATATGTATTCTAAAATTCAACTATAATCAATTTTGGGTGGGCCATCCATAAATATTTGGCATCTGTATAAACATTATTTTGAGTAATGTCTTAAAAAAAAAGAAAGTTCATGATGGAGGGAAAGAGTGCAGCGATTGACATGCCCTGTGGCCAGCGGGGTGCCTCCCATTGGCCTCACTGAGATATTTAGGAGGCACCCGGGGAAACAGTGCCTGGGCGGGAGGTGAGGAATGGGCATTGAATGTACACTGAAGGCTGATCGCATCTCTGGGGAGGAAGCCAGTGCTGGCTTTATTTCTGTTGTTAAAGTCATAGGTACTTGAAAGAATTCAAATTGTAAAACTGTCCTAGGAATGCTGAAGGTCTGGCTCTCCTGGTCCAGCTGCCCACTGTAACCACTTTAACCTTTGGTTTTTATCTTGCCTGACTCTTTTTTTCTTCCAAAACTCTGAATCAGAGAAATGTGGTGGAAGGAACTAAGAAATCATCAAATCCAACTTTAACATTTTGCAGAAAATGAGCAGTCCTGATAGATAAAGTGGGGTTACAGTTGTTAACCTAAAATTAGTAAAGAGGTCAGAATTTAGTTTAATGAGAGTTTGTTTAAGTGTAAAGGTTGAGGACTGGCCACCGGGAAAGTACAGATTTTAAAGAAAGGAAGCCAGTGTTCCAAAGTGTAGAAGTTTGGGATTGTTTATACAGACAAAGTTTAGGGAAGTTTAAGAGAATTTTAATATGTTTTTATGTAAGGCTTAATGTATTGTTACAATGATCTGATTAGCTGAGGTGGTCTGTTTTGTTGGGGGGCGGGGAAGGTATATTTAACATTTTACACTGAAGATGTCACTGTTATAGGTCCCCGTTTGGGGCACTATGTGGTTTGAGTTAGATACAGGACAATAAAGGAGGCAGTTAATCTACAATAAAGATCAGTGATTGGAAGGGGGAAGTCTGATCTCTGGTCCTTTTGAGTCATTTATAGAACAAGAACAATGAGGAAGAGAGTTAAACTATAATCTGAGAAGCAGAATTGTAAACATGTTACAGACTCAGGTCACAGTAACATCTCTCTCGAAGTTTAAAGTGTTTTTAGGGTTCTAATAGTTTTTTAATTTATTTTTACACAGTTTTGGTAGCAGAATCAGAACTAAAATCCAGGGCTGTTAATGTCCAAGCAGCAAATTTCTGGGCTTCACTTTAGAACATATGCTATTGGACAAAATCAGTAGCACTGTTTAGTTCTAGATAAGCACTGACTGTGAAAAACAAAAGTTGGAGAACTGAAGTCCAGATTGATTCTGGAATTCATTTTCAAGACTGAGGTATTATGTTATCTCGGCAAGTGGAAATTTTCTTTTTATTGTTTTATCTCCTGCAGTTTTAAATCAGAGCAGCCTCTTTCCAAAATGAAGTAGTGTTTTAATATCTCATTTTTGAGCCACTAACACTTACAGTTCCTTTTTTACTCTGATTGTAAGAAAAACTAAGACAGTTTCTTCAAAACTATTAAAGCCCCCAACAAGCAGGTCAAACACAATTAGTGGATCTCCACTGACAGCCCCAGGTTTAGTTGGGATTTCCACGTGACGGGACAATGCGGTGGACCTCTCTGTTCCTCTCAGCAACATTGAGAACTTCCGCTGTAGAATGATGCAAATAAAATTACGTGGCCACACAACACTTAAAGTATCCTGGATCTCTGAGCTCTTGGAAGTGTGCGTGAAGCGCTATCTTAAGGGTATAACTGCATAGAATTCAGACACATTAACACTAATTGCACCTGGAAGGACAAAGAAACAAATGTAATGCATTTTTTTTTAAGTACAAGGTAGTAAACTGCCTAAATGTATAGAATAGGAGAAAATGTAAGCAGTAAAAATTATAATACATTTCTTGGTGCACTCAATTTACAAGGTACTTTTGCCTCTGTTAATTTCGTTTAACCATCACAACTCTGTGAATTAATTAGAGGCTGGGAATCTTGGCACAGGAAATAACATTTTGTTTATCTTTGAGCAGATGCAAGTAGTTCTCACTGCCCTTAGGGCTTTTGACACAGTCATAGACTCTCTAATTTAAAAAGAGAAAACTTAATAAAATAAAAATCTGAATTGATTACATGGCCCACCCCTAGATTATCTGAGGCTCTCCTCAGTTTCTGTTGGGCAGTTTGACTGTTCTTTTGAATGAATATACTGAAATTAGAGCTCTTTCCCTGAGATTCCTGGTGTGCACCTTTATAATGGGTATTTGAAACCTGTCATTAGAAAGTTCCTGATGCGTCAGGCTATTACTATGTGTAAAGCTGAAGAAAACTGCCTTTGATCTGTTTGCTTAGGTTTCTTCCATGAGTGGCGATTTTCTTACTAGCAGCCAGTTCAGATTCTTTTCAGAGGTATTAAGACTTTCACACTCAAAATACCTGATTAATGATGATATTGGATAAACTCTTTTCAGTTCAATAAATTACATAAGTGCAGAACTTTATTTTAATTATTAATATCATATTTAATTGAATATTTATTTCCCTTTAGGTATCTTATAAGACTTTGAACTTTACTGTTTTGTCATCTGAAAAAAATATGAATTACCTGTGATATTTGGACTCCAATGTGGTTGGGCTATCTCCCCTCATACCTATAGAATTGGGGGCTACCCTTTTACTCTAGTTTATAGTATGGGATGGAGAGTTTCATATCCTCCCTTTTTTCCTCAGAGTGATTCTATATTCCAGGCAGTTCAAAGAATTCTGAATCATAAGCTGAACTTAGTTTCAGGTGAGGCTAATAGTTTTTCAAGTACCAAAATTTTCATTAATTCAAATGTCTTGATGTAAATATAAATATCCTATAGCCTAAGTGTGTTTTGCTTTTCAAATTATTATCACTATAAGCATGGAAAGGCCCTGTTATTTAAACGAATATTTACTAGGTTCTACCGTGTACAGGGCATATGCTAGGTAATATAGGAATGTTTACAAAAGACTACAATATATTTCCCTCCCCATCCATACATGGTAAATTCCATAAGACATTCAGTGCTGTGAGGGAGAAGAGGGAGCTGATCTACTTGGAGAATTTGTCTGTTATTCAGGAGTAAGAAAAGAGCAGTTGGGCAAGAATGTCTTTTTTCTTAAAGTTAAAAGAGCTAAGCTTGAAGAAGAAAAACTATTTTTAAAAATTTTATTTTAAAAAATATAAAGGATGATAGATTATAGTAATTGTTTTTCTTAAAGGAAATAGAATTTGTACTTCCCAAAATAGTGTGTCTGGAAAATTTTAAAGAACTCAATAACAGGACACTACCCACTGGAGTTGTACTGAATGCAGCCTACTGTATGTGGGTGCTACAAAAATTAAAGGTATTAGAAGTCAGTTATATTTATATTGCTTTTATTAGTATATTTCATTTTCACTGTGTCATTTGTAACTTTTTTCCTGTTTCTTCATATTTTAGACCTGTAATGGCCAGATATCAAGGTGAAGTTCAGAGTTTGAAACTGGATGATGATTCCGTTATAGAAGGAGTAAGTGACCAGGTACTTGTGGCAGTTGTGGTCAGTTTCGCTTTGGTTGCTACCCTGGTATATGCACTTTTCAGGTGAGACTAAAGGACAAAATTATATATTTACAAGGGCCATTGACTTTTTGCCTCCTAGTAACATGTAATACTTAATATGAAAAGCAAGTGGTGGATGTTAGTGATTGTAGATATTTACTAAGATATTTTATTAATATTTTCCATTGGGCTCTGAATGCTAACATATATTTTTCCTGTCATTAACTTTCTTATCAGATAATATATAAATTCATCATTCATATTTTAAGGCTCATGGTGGCTCATGCCTGTAATCCTAGCACTCTGGGAGGCCGAGGCAGGGG